AGTGATTCAAAGCCAGGTTACACCATGTATGACCTCTTAAGCTTTGAAATGCCCTTTCATAAGGTCTCTACAACTTGAGTCTCCAAACTGTACCTCTCTCAGCTAACCATTCTGCTAGGTATTTTGCCAATAATTACCTGACCTGCAGATCCTTGCAGAGGACAGTACAGTCACATCTGCGGGTATTACAAAATGAATCATTGAGGAACAAAGAAATGTTTGAGTCACGTTCAAAGTTATTGTTAGCTGACCCATTTAAATCTTTGAAAATTCTCCCCTCTCATGGAATTTTTTTTCAATACAAAAGTAATTCAATATATATTTGCAATAATACGATTACAGAAAGTAAATAAATAACTAATCTGTAACGGCCACTGCTGAAGTAATTCTTATCTGGACTGTTTTACTTCTTCCAAGCCAGCCTGCAGGTACCTTGACAAAATATTGGTTCTGCACTAACCACCTTCTGCATTATTACAGCACAGGGAAACATTACAAACTAATGGAGATTCTTTACCCATAAATTAAATATTATGAGCCAATTCCATCCCTATTATAAACCCCTGAATGGTAGGATTAATTTGATCATGTGTTTATTTGTTGAGGAATTTAGGCAATAAGAAAAAAGAGGGTAATGCCAAACTTGGTGTCAATAGCATATCGGTTGTGCAGAATACTTTCTAGAGATTGTCCACAACAGTTTACTTTTAAGAAATTATTACCCCAGCAACTCTGCTGAGACTGAGCAGATTAGAGATAATGTGCTGCAGATGCATACATTAGACTAAAGACTAGTAGGATTTAGGTCCCTGAGGTACTGCTCTTACACCTACTAGGACTATTGTCTTCGGTGACAAGAATGTACTTCATGCCCTAGTCACAAACTGGCCTTGTGCTGTTGTTCCAGATGGCTCCTGTTGTCTCACCATGTAACTGTCCCCCTTTCAGCTAGCTGCTACAGCCCTCGCCCCGTGCTGGACAAGAGTCCTGCACTACACTAAATTAACCCTCTGCTAATTACTGTGATGTTTTACACAAGTTGTGTTGAGAAGGCATCAGACATTTCCCATTCAGTTTATAACTTCTCAACATACAGATCATGTACAAGACTATGTAAACACAGAAAGCAACTGTTGTTCAAATCCGATGGCTAATGACTTTCCCATCTGTTGGCTGGAAGTCAAGAGTAGTTTGAACAGCACTTAGCACAACGTGTAGAGAGCACAAACACCACCCAGAAACTGTCCCTGGTAACTTATCAAACAGTTTATCCAGATACGCAGCTGTTTCAGAAAATCCAAATTTGCAGAATACTTGATTATATCGCCTGAACCTTTCTCCATATATAAAAGTCTACCAGTTTAAATCTTTAAGAAATTTAAAGGAATAGGCACTCAAGGACATAGCTTTCACGTCTCTCAGTTACCACTGAACTGCAGTTTATTTGCGAAACTCCCACAGCAAGTTCTTGTAACTGACAGCTGATAAAACTGTGCATTATCAAATACTGAGAAAAAGATTGCACAAGTCGAGGAAAATGTTACAGAGTTCAAGCCTGCAAAACACACCCTGCTTTTGCATCCATCTTGAAAACATGTATTTAATGATAAAAAGCCTGAGAAGTACCATGGATGACTTCCTGAGCTCATAAAATTTGTTGTAAGATGGAGTGAACTGACAGAGTTCAATGTCATTGCAGGAAGCCAGAATCACTCACTGGCTTGGAGGTTATTGTAAATCCATACCCAAGACCCAGATGATGTGTTGGTGGAGTTTTCTTTGCTTCTCTATCTATAAATACAACATTTTGTGAACTGTCTGCTATGCAAAGCAGATATACATTCTCTCCTCAACTCTTTCTTCAAAGCATCAGGCATCCTACAAGACATTTCAACTCTGTAACTCTGCTTTAAGCACCCATCTCCCAAAAAAAGTAAAGAAGAGGCTCAGAAACATATTTTTTTTACTTTTAAAAGATACTGTGCTATTTTTTTCTAATGAGATTAACTTTTGCAATAAAGGGAACAGGAAGCGGGTGAGTAGAGGGGTTAGGAAGGTAAAAGTTGTGCATATTTGTTTCTAGTCAATGCTGTGAAACCTTTCCCCATCCCCTCCAACCTATCACAAATCAACCCACAACAAATTGCACAACACTGCTTGTTTCAAACTGGAACAATCTCTTTCAGATGAGCAGAGAAAGGTACCTTCTAGAAGAGGTAAAACTAACCAAGACAAACAGAAATGAAGTGATATATGTCTAAACAACTGCAACCAAAGCTCTCACCCAATATGCATGACAAAGTGACATGCATAAGTGACAAAGGCAAAGGAATGCAAAGACACCTTCCATTTCATGCGGCAGTTTTGAGCATACACTAGACAAATCAGGGAATGTGCTAATAAAAGGAATCTTTTAGATCAATCTTGTAAAAGACAGACTATATTCAGAAAGTAGATAAAAGTTCGTAACAATGAGTCGTGAGTGAAAAGGACAAAAATGCAAACAAAAAAAAAGGGCCAAAAAAATCCAAAGGAATCATTTTACAAGAAAAAAAAAAGGCAAAATAAAAATATTCCAATGTGCAAAAGAAGAGTGAGTTCAGAATAAAACTCAGTTGTTTGCATATTTTATTCCAAAATTTCTAGCTATCTCCACCCATGTGCTAATGTGCTTTCCAGGTAAAATATATCTGCACAACAATACCTCTAATAGACTTCATGGAGCCAGCTGAACTCCATTCCCTGTCATAGGAACCATGAAGTCAGAAATCTAGATCTGTAACATATGGCCAGAAATCGGATTTTTCTGCTTCTTGGTGCCCAGGCAGATTAAGAGAAATAAAACAGGATATTAGATATTTTGACTTTACATTTAAGCTAAATTACATTTATTTTTAAATAAGTTTTTTGGATTCTTTCAGGGACTAGTGTCATCAAATAGGGTAAAACAATGTTAGAAGAGCATTAACCACAACACAACCCCGCCAGAAAGACATCACAGAAATGACCATTTGCTGGTCCAGCCACATTGACTAGACTCACTGCCAGAACAAGCAATGGTAGCCTGACAATTCATCTCACACAGTAAAAACCCCACACAATGATTCTCCCTCACAGTAAAACTTTTGTTCAAATTGAACTATTATATTTTTCAGCATCAGTTATAAAAGGGGAAGATTCCAATCTTCTAAGCGTGGCTTATCATAGTAGATCAAAAGAAAATGACCAAAATCAGAGAAATCACTGAATTATTTCCTTCCCAATTTATTTTTAAGCAGATAAAGGCACTTGGTTATACGTGAAGCAAGGACCAAGGCCAACTACCACTAACATCCTTATTATTTATGTATTTACATGTACATTAATACATTTTTATGCATGTTTGCATATAGCTAAAGTGTCCTCGAGCCCGCTGCACCCAGGAAATTAAAATCAGATACCTCATATTTTAAGATGCTCTCAATTCTTACCTGCTCTGTCCTTGCTGGGTTTACATCCACAACGCCTGCTTGCCTTTGCAGGAATGCCACCAGGAAGATCAGGGAGTCCAGCTTTCATCCAGGCTGCCTTCAAGGAGACAACAGGTACATCTGCACCAGTGTCCTACAGAGCTTTGTGTGAGCACAATTATACCAGGTGTCATCCCCTCCACCCAACCCAGTCCTCTAACAGTATCCAGTCCACCTGCACACTCCTCCAACCACCCTCTGCACCCCCCTGAACCCCAGGTTTGGTGTCCAAACACAGCTCTAAGATTTTTTAATTATTCCCAGACCAAATACACTAAGATACAGAATAGAAGTTCTTGCTATATTTACTGTCACTTTAGAAATCTCCAATTGAATAAAATTTTCAGCAAAGAAAACCAAAATAGGCTTGATAAATTTTATTGATAAAATCTGGTATGTTAAAGCCAAACTTCATCAGGTTATACTTTGTTCCTTCTCCATTTCTGATACCCTGCAAGGAAGCACCTAAGTCCTTTTGCAACTCTTTCCTTGTTCCAAAAACTGTGACTAAAAAGGAGGAAAAATTGTAAAATTGACAACTTTTCTTACTTGATGTGTGACAATGGCAATGGATGGATCAGATAGATACAAATATAATTTCTGCAGAGCACAGCTGGAAGAGCAGAGACCTAAAACCACAGAATCAGTGCAACAACAGCAGTAGTCTTTTTTAATCTCAGACATACAAGTTCATGGCAAGCAGCTAAGGTTCATATGACCCATTACTCTTTGAATGATTTTATTTTTCTAGGCTTTTGAAGAGCTTCAATTCATTGCTGTCTCCACAGCCAGTTTTTGTTGTTGTTGCTGGGGGCTTTCAGTAAGAGCATCCCGTCATGAGCTTTTTGCTCATCTTATTGAAGGGTATTTTTGTAGATCATCTCATGGAAAAACTCCATTTAATATTTTTAAATCATCCTTGGGAAGAATCTCTTTTTCCCTGAGGACACATCACTGGAGTTAGGAAAAAGAGCTCCAGAGTTATAGCTACATCCAGAGTCTCACACGCTGCATTCTCCTATGGGGTCCACATTACAGAAACCACAGAACAGCCATTCACTGATATGTTTTTAATTATGTATATTTTTTATTTTACTTTGTGGTTTTCTTGTAGCTTTTACTTCTCTGACATCACTTTTTCTTTTTTACATTAAAAGCCAGGGACAGAAGGGGGAGCAGACCCAATTTGCCAGAAACATTGGGAAGGATTTTTCAGATTAAGACAAGAGTTTGCAACCTTTTTTCTATACAGTTTTTTTCTATACAGTTCCTAGTGATGAAATATATTACTCCACCTCCCTCTGAGACTTACGTCTCTTTGGACTGTGCATCCATACACCTCCCAGCATAGCCAGTTCTAATAACATTAGACACATTAACAAATAGACTGAATGAGGTGTTGTCTTTAGGAACTGATTATTTGATGCCTGAGAAACAAGAGCTTTTAGAATGATATGTTACATTTTACTTGCAGAGCAACCCAAATCAAAAATCCTACTTGTGAACTTTCTATTACTATATTTTTGCTGTGCAAAGGGAAGAAAACAGAATAGGTGGCATAGGAAGTACATAGCAGCGTCCTTACCCAGAGAGCTTCTCCTGCACTTACTCCTCCTTTTACCTGGCTTCTTGCTGACGAAGGATTTTGTCAGACACCTTTGATTCACATGTAGTAAAAGCCCGAATAGTTGTGGTTGTGAGGAAATGTTAAAAGTCTGTAAATACCAAGTGTGGTTCCCATCACACATAAAAGAAAACAAACTGAACTCTATCTGGAAAATATCTTTCTCACTGTGCTTGAAAAAGGAACATCATGTCACAATGATTCACTGTTACATGCTGATTTTGAGTGAATACATGGAGAGTGCACAAGAAAAACCCTATTATCTACATACCATAGCATTGAAAGGCAAGGGGCAGGCTATGCTATTAAGGCCCACATATGGTGCCCCAGGACCTAGAAAGGGCGTTTCGGTCCACGCACTGACTGCATGCCTTCCATTACACTTAGTGTGGGGCCCAGCATGTCCCCCAGCTATTTCATCATATCTGCCATTGCTAAGTTCTCTGAGCCAACAAACTCGGGTTTTTTTCCTACTCTTTGTGATACAACGTGAACTTTCCTTGTTTGGTTTATGTTCCAAGAGACAAATGATGGGGAAAACATTTCTGAAGCTCTTTCATTTGTCAATGACAAATGCAGAGATTTATATGAAAGACCAGAAAAATGGAAATATTGACTCTCATCCTTCAGTTCAGATGAAAAGAGCTACCTAGGTGAAAAGTGTCATTATTGTTATGAATCAACTGCACACACGTCACAGACATAACAAAGTAATGTTTATTGCCGGTAACCTTTGTAATAATCATAGTTTCCAATGAGGACTCTTTAGTTAACGATCAAACTCTACGAGTGAGATTTCAGGAATTGTCTAAGTAAATTTGGTGCCAGGTCAGATGGAAAATTGCTGAGAAATGGGTGCCTAACTCCCACAGGGCCTTTGAAAAAAGGCTCATCTTGCGTTAATTGGAAGTGGGGAGGAAACAGAAATTCAATATAGTATCACAACAAAAGCATGAGAAAGAAAATGGCATATTGAGCAACTTTGAAGGAAAGGTTCTGTGTCACTGAAGGACAAATTATTGCAGAATCTTATTATTTACTGGCATTGTACGTTACTTCACCGCCAGGAGACAGTAGAAATTAAAAAAGATGTCCTGCTATGTCTCAGATCCTTCCTTTCAGTTCTCCAGAGCCCTTAGTGGCAAACTCCATTCAACCACAATCCTTTCTCCAGCATTATTCAACATCTGCAGAGAGGAAGGAGGAGACGGACAGATACCACGAGGATGGAAGCAGAAGGACAATGGTACACACTGCTGCTTGAGTTTCTGTCTGTTTCACATCACAATGTCATTTTTTATATCTTTCAGTATATAACTGGAAGGAAAGCAGCTAAAACTGTTGACTATAGAGAAGATCATCTCATCAGATGCTCATGAGATACATTTCAAGCAAAACAAATATTTTCCACAGTATCAGCTAATATTTGGACATCCATCCTCAGGTTGCTAAGTATCTCTTCAGGCTCTCAGTGCTCCTCATGCTTCTGGAATTTTATTTAATGACAGCATAAAACCCTGTGATTTGCATCTGAAATGGCATTGGATACTATACGAGACCACATACTTAGTGAGGAAAGCTTTTTACTCCCCCATAAGCTTTCCTGTCATAGCTCTATCCCTAAAAATCTGTTTGTTGGGGTTTTTTTAAACAGTTGAGGTAGCAGCAATGTCACAACAGGAGCCTCCTAAGGTTTCCATCCTCTGCACTTTCTCCCTGCACTGCACTGAATAGACTGAATATTATCTTGATGCTTAAAGCCCTCCCTGGGTTTCACTCTCATTAGCAGTTCTTTCCCTCCACACTAATGGCTGTCCAAGGACATCTACTTTTCTGTGGAAACACCAGTGAATCAGGGCACCACTTCCTAGGGAGGACTGGAAACTCTTCAGGGACCGTGCACAGCTAGGAACTTACCCCAACAAGAACTCAAACAGCAACATAACTGTTGAAGCAACTGTGTTCCCTTGAGTAGATGAAGGGTTGAGTGAGAGTATTACTGCTCTATATAGTTCTGAAAACTTAGTGGGTCAGATGCCACACTGAAAGAGGGTGCCCAAATAAGCAGGCTCTGGGGCAGAATCTTTCATGTGACTGATTTATACTTACTTAATAAATGCGAAAAGACAATGGTAGCTGTAAGCCTATGGATAAGGGTCTGCACTGAGACCGTGCTTACTTCTTAGTCAAAAATTCAGCTACAACAATGAGATACAGCCTCTTCATTACACTCCCAAGACCCTTTGAATTTCTGAGAAGAGTAAAGGGCCTGATATATAGTGAAAGTAAGCCCTGTACTAGCAATTGAGACACCACTGTAACATTTTAGGTAATTTGCATTGTTTTTACCACTTTTCACAAGGTCCATAGTCAAAATGCATCCTGAGTTCTTGTTCTGTGTCCTTATGTTGCAAAAATATAAATTTATCATTAAAAACCTATTTTTTAATGATTTAGTTTTCTCATCTTGCTGAGGTATTTCATAAGTCTCCAAATTAAATTTGTGGTAGAGCAGTGGGCTAACAAGGATTGTGCCCAGTTTATGTCAGGAAACAGCTGTCTGCAAAACAAAATATTTCATGGGAACCTTAGTAACTCTGTGGGTGACAACCCTCACAATTATTCCTGACCTTTCTCCTGCACACAGCTCCCCAGCATGCTCTAGCAAATGCTGCAGCTTTGCATAAGAACAGCTGAAAAACCTAAAAGTGACCAACAGGTTTTACCAAGGATGTTTTTTTCAGTACTTCTTTCACTTGTTCTTGTTGAACTTCCAGTTTTCCTCCTCAGTAGGAACCTGCAGTCAAGTGGTCTGGTGTGGAGAGATGATGATGTGCAGCACCTTCTTGAGACCAAGAGACTGCAATTAAAAGAGAAAATCTTTAGTTACCACAGAGTCCCAATCCTAGCATTTTAATTTGGGTAGAAAGATTCTTCCATTGCTGGAATTAAAAGAACAGGTAAATATCAATTGTTTTGCAACAGGGCTCCATTTTATCTTAAGAAAAAGTACTCAGTTAAGTTGAAGGCAGATGCTAGTCAAAGAAAAGTATCCTCCCTTCCAAGTTCAGTATTAGGTTTTTACTTACTGGTTACAAGAAGGTGGCAGAGGTGAAATGTGATGAAAGGGTGGCAGCACTGCAAAACCAGAGAGCTGCTGTGGTAACCACATGATATCCATTTTTTTTATCCCTGCTGCAGTGATGTAACAACACCAAGGTGGAAACTGCTGAGCTTGACCTTGCTCTGAGTATACAAAATGCCAGGGCTCATGGACTGCTGCATCCTGTGAAGAGGGGAATGTTACAGGCTTACAAGGAGACTATAACCACACTGGAAACCCCAGATGGCCTTATTTGGATAAAGGCAAGCTTTCAGCTGGAAAATGAACCCTGTGAGTGTGAACCTGGAACATTTGTGAACTACCCCACACATACAGAATCAGAGACCCTAAAGGGACACCCCCCTTCCCCAAATATTTCCAGTTTGAAAGAGGTATCTGGAAAGATCTCTGGTGTAAGAAGACACAATTGGTCTGTGAGAAAGCAGTGGAAAAAACAAAGCTAGGATTTTTTTTCTGTAGGAATATCAGGAGTCTCAAGAAACCTCAAACTACTGCCTGCGTTTTATTTTTGCTACATCTACTGGTACAGGGAACAATTTCTAAGCACCTTCCAAAAGTTTAACTGTCTATACATTTATAGAGAGTATACCAACATTCTGTAGTAAGGAAAGATTGGCAGCTAAGTTTGAAAGACTAGATCAAGGATTTGAGAGCCAACATTTGGAACAATCTGACTGGGGCATTGAAAAAAAACCAACCCTCTTTATTTTGCAAATAGTTCTTATTTCTAGAGCCAAAAATGATTGTAAAAGAATTAGATCAGTAACCAGGAGTCCAAACAAGCTTATTCAGCTTATTTTACTGCTTGTGTTGATGACACGCTCTTTTGTCTTTATCCAGTAGTGGGAAGCGCTTTATCATCTTCTGGTTTGGAAAAAGACCCAAGCAGCTAATGTAAAAAAAATATATTCTCCAGTAGCTGCAGCATGATTAATTTTCCACCCCACGAGATCACTGTGAGTTTGAAAGCACCCTAGAGCTTTATTTGCTACATTATAGTCATCAAGGATCATAAAGCATCTTCTTCCTTCCGCATGGCTAGCACTTCAGAGAGCCAGTATGGTTGAGTGGAATGAGCAAAGGATTGAAAACCAGAAAATTTTTATTATAAACCTAAAACAGCTTGTGACTTCTCTTTGGCCTTGGTTAAATAATGCTGGACTCAGTTCTCTGAAGCAATACAGTGCTCTAATCCAGCTAAAGAAATTATAGACTCTAGCACATATGACACCCAGACATTGATATCTGCATTATAAAATGGGGATAATACTACCGATGTTTTTTCATCAGGTACTTTGGGGTTTATTGGTGAAGAGCAGAAGGTAACAGCACAAGGTTTTAATTAATTTCTCATTTTTAAAGGAGAAATTACTTATTATAGTTATTCCACATCATTCCCCCAGATAAGCACATGGAGGAAATCCTGCATGTTACATTTCCCTGTTGCCATACAGAAAGCTGACTTGGTGACTTCTCCCTTTTCCACATCATTAGGAGAGCCCAATCCCAGCAGAAGTGAATGAGAAAAACTGGGGTGTAGGCTGGCCCCCAAACCTCCTGCAGTGGTAACCCTCCATAACTTACAGGTGCGGTGGTGCCTTAGAGGAATGGTGGTACTTAGAGATACCTAAGCTCCCCAAATCACTGTAAAAGTTTATAAGCTTACCCAAAAGAAGTTCAGCTCTTCCATCAATCTGCACTTCTTCATCTTCTATGCTGTAAAGGCAGCTGGCCAAATGGAAACACACCACGGGCCAGACTGTCCCCTGGGACAAAGAAGGAAAGGCTGAGGGAGGATAGGTAGGACCATGCACATTACCTTTACTATTGCCATGATGGAAATAAGGCAGAGAAAAGACTATGTGTCCAGAGTGCATCACCACAATGGTACTACTCTTGAGCAGACTCCAATGATGATCCTTAGAGAAAAAGTTCTGGCTGAGGAATGTATAAGAGGGGAACATCAGAGAGAACGATGTACAGGCCTATACACAGAGATATTGCTTGGTGGATCCTTGCAACTTGCGTATGTGTTTAGAGAGATGCAATTTGGAGCAAGACAACAGATTTACTGCCCTCCACCACTGTGGACACAGTCACACAGAAGCCATCAGAACTACTCACAAAAGCAAAAATTAGATAAGACTTTTCAATCTTGTGATCCCAGCATTGACCTGGATCAGTTCTAACCATGGTTGTGTTAGAAAGCAACAGATACACAAATATATTCAGGACATGGCCTTCAGCATTACTTTTAAGAAAATGTGTTTCTCTTTAGTCTCTATCTTCTGGTTCTGCATTTAATTAATTATATTTTAGACATTCTGTCAGGTGACACTTAATAAAAATTGTACAAATAATTATCTTCATGTTTTCCAGGGTGGTTTTGTTTAAATGAATAAATTCATTAATTAAAAAGTGTGTCATCTGAAGTTAAGGGTCACCTGCATCTTTTTAAAAATGCCATTATACAGAGTTTTTCCCCATTTATTTTTACTCACATAATTTTTCCCATACTGTGATTCCAGCTCCTTGCTTCTCCACACGAACCTTCTAGATGCCAGCAGAGATCTGTTTGGCTGCATGATTTTCAGTGAAAATGCAAAATAAAATCCATCAGTGTAAGGAATATAAAGCACAATTTTAGCAGTAAGAATTTCTGAGGTATATTTCTCTCAGTTTACTTTCATATCAAAAATATTTAGTTGGGTTAAATGGAACATTAACCTTCATTTCACATATTGGATGCATCTTGCTGATGGCCTATAGCTGCATAGCTCCCTACTATACAAAGTCAATTTACTTCAATTTACTTTTTGTTCACTTTGTTCAGTTTCTGAGGTGATGAATTTAACACCTCGTACCATTTTCCTCATGCCTCTTGTTGTACTCTTAAGGATATCAATGCAAGCCACAACCCGTGAGTGTTTATGTTCAGTGTCAATCCGGCACTGCCAGCTGAAGACAGCATTGCACCATTTAAATAGATTGATTTTCTTGAGACAGACTTTGCTACTAGTCTCTTTTCCAGCTGGACAGAATAATCAGGTTGTCTCACCCCAGCCAACAGAGAGTTTAATCCTCAAGCCCTCGATCTTCCATAAATCTGTCTGCAGAGAGCCACTGCTAGAAATTCTTTGTCGTTTATGTCATATCTTGTAAAATCTGTTGAGCCTACTTTGAGCATGTGTCTGGTTTGACTTTTCCTGAAGAACAGTCTCTCTCTAGAGGGAAAGTCTGAAGCGTAGCATTTATCTTTCCGTGCACTCAGATAGGCAGTTGTGAAAGTCTCTTTCTCATGGGGACATTTTCCAATGAGTCACACTTGCTTTCTCTGGATTGACAAGTTCTGACAGCAAAGTATTAATACTATCTCGCAATATTAGCCAAAGGGAGTCCAACTGAGAGATGAATAAAAAGACAGACCTTCATCCTGAAGCTGATTCCCAAGGAAGATTCCCATTAAAGAAAAACAGGACCTTTTCCTGAGTAATCAAGAGGGACTACAAAGAGCAGGCAGGATTTCAGATGTCTTTGAGTACATAGGAACTGGCAGTTGGGCCCCAAAAGTTTCTGTATAAAATAACCCTAAAACTTATTTGTGTTTAAAATATATTACAAGAAACAGCACAAATGCACTCTGTTTGATAATCCTGAACAGTCAAAAAACCCAATAATTCATACTACTTCATAATCAAAGGCAGTTCAGAACAAAAAGAGTTGGCAAAAAAAACCAAACTGAAACATCCTTTTCCTTATTTTTATCATTGCAGCACAACACAGATCAATGAAACAGCTGAGCTAAAAGCTCTAAAAGCAGCATTTCCTTCAGACTGAAAACTGAAGAGGAAAACACAAGAAATTATCTTAATTGCTAATCCTCATTCATGCTGGATCTTTACCAGGTCCATACTAATGTCTTCTTGTTCTAAATAATTTCTGTCTTTCCTATCAAACTTCTTCCTTTCTTAGATCTTTCGGCATCTATGCATATGTCATATGCACTTCTGCATTTCAGATGCAGTTCTGGTATTTAAATAAGAAAATACAGTGTCTGATTATTCAAAAAATCAATTCTTAGAATCACAAAATGTCCATTAAGTATTACAGCCTTTGTTTCTCACTAGAAGAACTGGATCTTCATTGAACAGAATCAATAAAATAATTCTTCAAATCCAAGAGCAAGTTTATTCTTCCCAAAGGATTGAAAGAGAGGGGAAAAAAGAGGGGGAAAAAAGAAAAGAAAAAGAGAGGGAGAGAAAGAGAGAAAAAGAGGTCAAGAGAAAGAGAAAGAAAAATAGCAAACCTGACTGGAACAATCTCATCACACCTGAGCTCATCTCATTGAGTCCACCTGAAAAATAGCCACATCAATTATGCTGGCTTTAGCCTTGGCATTCCTACCATAAGAAAATTACGGTTGCGGGTCCCAAGAATGAGAACTGGAGTTCAAATATCAACCAGCCAAGAAATGTAGGGTGCCCCAATGATTAGCTGCAAAAGTGACAGGGGAAAGGGCCACCCAGGGTCTGTTGTCATCCAGAAGTTTCTTTCTGCTGACTTCAAAGGGGCATGGAGCAGATTCCAAATCCATAGTAAGGATCAGCAAGCCATGGTTATGTTCTTTCCTTGGGGTATTCCGGCAGGAAATGGGTGGTTGAGCAGAGGGTTACAACAGCTCAGAAAATGCTGTGGATTTCAGCAATTGCTAGCTAGAAATGTGATATGAAAGTGACCCTTCCTTTGTACAGGATCAATGCTCACATCTGTCTTACATATTCATGTGGTCCTCTTTCCCCCTGCACACAGACACCTCCCAGTCTTGTAATGTTTAACCTTACAGTATTCTCCATTTCTACATAGATTTTCCTTGGGCAACTAAAGCAAAGGTATTAAAGGTTGCAGGAGGGAAGGGCAAGGGGGAACTGTTCAGTACCAAAGCATTGTTATTGGACCTTCAGAAGTGCCTAGATCCACAAGGAACACAAGGACCTGGGTACAGGGGCACTTATAAATGCTCCCTGCGTGCCTACTGCAGCATAAAGTGCTTAACATCTTTCCAAAACATGGCTCTGAAATATTTCAGTCAGCTTGGTGGAGAGTGTCAGAGAAAGAAATCCCAAGTCTCATACTGGCACTGACCATTGGTTTGCTTCTTTATTTTTTTCTTTCTTTACTTACTTATTTATTTATTTTCTCTCTCTCAATAACCTTAAAATAATGCAGAACCAAGTAAACAGAACCATATATTTTGCTGGAAGTGGAGCAAAAGAATGGAAATTGACTCAATATGTTCTGTAACAACTCACAGTTGAGATTCGTGGAAGTTGAAATCAGGCAAATTCAGAACAAAAATAAAGCTATGCCTTTTTCTTATTTTATTTTTTCAACAGTGAAGAAGATTAATCACTGGCATAGCTTAAAGATGTTTGCAAGATTTTCCATCACTAGCAACTTATAAATCAACATTGGATAGCTTTCAAAAAGAAATGCTCAAGTTCAAGTAAAAATTAATTCAGGGAAGACCTATGACCTCTGCTACACGGGATCAGATGGTCACAGTAGACTTTTTTAGCTTTACAATCTATTAATTAGATCTTTCTACTCCGTTCTCTGGGATCACCCTTCCAATTCCACTCCTTCTTAGCATCAGAGGTAATTAATTCTTGAGTTCCTGTAAATTTTTCTTCTCAGGCACCTAGACAGGAGGCAGGTCTATTAAAAATGCCATTAACCCCTGCAAAGCTCATTTAGATGCTGCCATTTCTCATGTGCAGGACACCCGCTCATCACATGGCAACATCTAGAGGGAAAGCCCAAATTCTAGAGGAGCAATGCAAGTCCTGGAAAATCATTGTGGGTATTAAGGGATCACCCACATTGTGGAGCACATTTGCAGTGGCAAATGTGGCTGTAGCCCATTCTCAAGCTTAAATTAATCTTCCAAATATAAATCTGAGAACTATGTATGTTTTCACTTCAAAGCGCTCTTGAAGAAGCCAGCCTGAGCATGGATGGTAATTTATTCATAGAGCCTAGACATACTAAGCACAAGCCAACCCACCAGTAGGTATATGAAGTTTGACTCTTCATAAGCACAGTATGGTTATTTTCAAGATGTTCTATAAGCAGCCTGACACAGACACGAATAAGAAACACATCAGCCCAGTATGCTTGAATGTGATCATCTGTTCTTCACCTATAGAGAGAACTTTTGTGCCATTCTCACCGGCTCTCCCCATTAATCACAAATCTATTCACTCTGGAGATTTGCAAGTGACTAGCTCAGACCCAATTGTCCTTAGCAAAAAGATTTTGCTTCCAATCAAGTTTAAAATAGCTCAAGAATATTTATTTTGTGGGGTTTTTTCTCAAGATGTGATATTTTAGTTTGTAATTACCATCACTCAGTGTTCCTTGCCCCTACATGAAAAGTATAAATTTGAGCCACCTTTTCCATTTGGCTACAGCCTGGTACCCCATTCTCCCTAGAGTGCCTCTGCGTTTGGTTGCAGGAGTAGCTAAAGGATAGTACAGATACCCCCGAGCCAGCTCTAAACTAACTTCATCAGATTCTGTTAGTACCCCAGGGCAGCAGCATGGACTTCAGGGCACAGACAATTTTTCTGTACCATGATGATAGAGTAAGAACATATTAGTCATCATTCAACTCATGTCAAGATAAGACTAAACTGATATTTCTACATGCAATTACTCAGTCCCTGGGACAGGCAAGTGGTTTAAATTATTTGGGGGTTTGGTAAATGTCATTTAAAGAGAGAGCAGCAACTGCTAGTGCTATCCTTATTTACAGGGATATTTTTTTACAAATGATGAATTAATAATACACATTTCTCTCAAAAATACAGCTTTTCACAGTAAGGGACATTTTATTGGTGACTCAAACCCACAGCAGGTCAGGAGGACAGAAAGTAAATTAAAAGCTTCTCCCTGTATGAAAAATATTAGACACAATATTTTATATAATATTTTTACACTACTGTTGGTTGCTTGGCATCAGAGGGAGATGCTAAGTGCTGCCAGGTCAAAACCCCTCCAGCAGGGCAAAATTAATCTTACTTCACTCCATATATCTACGGTGTGAATGCCCGTATCAGAGCCAGTCACCTTCAGTTTCTTTTATGTGACTACACAATTTTAAGTCTGAGTTCACCTACCTAATTTTAGATGTCTACTGTAGGGTGGGATGAATCACAACCTAAGAGTATCCATTTCTCCCCACTGGCTATAAAAAAGCCATTACAACTGGCTCAGCTGTAGACATCTGTACTGCAAACCTTTCCTGTTGATCAGCTTCTGTGTCTGCTGTCTCCAGCAACTGCAATTTTAATAGGTTGAGAGGACATGTGCCAAAACACCATTATTGAATAGCATTAATAAAATTAGGTAGGCAACCAGTGTCAGTCACAGAGCAGATGTTTAAGTGCTGCAAAAATGCCCTGACTTTCTGAAGGATCTAGCGGTAGGTGGCATAGAAAAACAGGAAGCCATGGAGATACCTGTTTCCATGTGTCTGAGTATGACACGCGCTGGCTTAAATGCTGAGCTTAGGAGAATGGCCAGTCCTACAGAAGAACTGCAAAGAGTTCCCACATAGAACTGTTATATTCGCAGAAGAGTGGATTGCACGCTTGGGTACATTTATTGAAAAAAAGTAATTTTTTTAACTTGGACTAAATTAAGATTGTAAAAAAGATGTCTCCCTTCCCTCTGATTCAAATAATTGATTTATATATTGATTACTAAGCTATTGATTACTGTGAGAATGAGGACTATAAAAAACTTCAAAGCCTTTGAATTTTTATGCCAAATGAAAAGCTTTGAATAGTTTCCTTGGAGTATCTATTCAGTCATTGAAACGGCTGCTCTTTTGCACTGGTAGGAAACCAAATAATTTTAGTGCTCTTTTTACTAAGCAATTACCTTTTTGCCATGTTTTTTGAACTTGTATCTACTTTAATATAACAATCTACCATGACAAACTCTTTTCCCAGCTGATAAAACTACAGTTCTTTGAAGCTGATAGCAGCTGTTTTGTAGCTGTCATACCATATAATATGGGTAAGGTCACTCCCTGTAACAAATCTGTAAGCTAAATTACAGAAATCAGTCTGGTGCCAAATTCCAAAAGCAGATATACCACATTATTGTGAA